TGTAAACCAAGGTGCAGAATGAGTAAAATAAACAGTGCGAGTTTTTAAAGGTGCAAGTGTATCAAGTACACTGTGCAGTCCCTCGTTATAATAAGAAACCAAGTCATCTGGAGTAGAGAAAGCATTGCTCCTGAAGAAATTGTCCAGTCCATCAGAAAGAGCAGATAGATCGATGTTCTTGATATTGCAAAATGAAATGGAACGACCCATGTTGGTTTTTTCAACCATTAAGTTAACACTGAATGATATTAACTTATGATCTGATATGGGCAAGTCTAAAGCATGACAGTTGGAAGGTGTTACACCAGAACAACAAATAGGTCAAGAATATGGCCTTTACAGTGAGTTGGAAAATTGACAAATTGCTGTATTCCAAAACTATCAAGGCATGATATAAAATCCCTAGTGAGAGTATTGTTGACATTGTCCACGTGTATATTAAAATCACCCAATATAATAACATTTTGAGATGTAGAACTCAGTAAAGTTAAGAATACAGAAAAGTCATTTAAAAAACTAGAATTGCTCCTGGGTGGACGATAAACAGTGGCTACAACAGTAGGAACAGGCCCATTAATTTGTAAAACAGTGGACTCAAATGATTCATACAGAGGCACATTCATGAGAGAAACTTTCCACTTCTCATTATAAAGTATCGCAAGCCCTCCACCTCGGCCAGACGCGCGAGGTTGACATGTGTAAGTAAAGCCAGGAGGGACAGATTGATTAAGCTGCGAAAAATCATGGGATTGTTGCCATGTTTCAGTAAGACAAAGGAAGTCAAACTTACTGTCATTCAGGAGATCATAAATAAGAGGTCCTTTGTTTGTTAACGAGCGGATATTAAATAAACCAAAAGTAAGATCAGTCGTACCGGATTTGATGCTAGTTGTCCTGGCGATATTGGCCAGCACACTGTGGTCGACAGTCCATATTGACTTCTTTGGCGGACGCTGGGTGGACGACCAGAATGATCGTATTGGACCGGTGTCATCGTAGATATAATTCCGTCGTGACCCACGATGGATGTACTTCTGCCGAGGATAGTAGATAATATCCTGGTGAGATTGAAGGGTCAGTGGTGGTTCAGTGACACGGAATCGCAATGAAAAAGTTCCACCGCAGTATATTGGAGAATCGATGTCACTGGATGATGAATAAAATAAAATATAATCCACATGAAAAGTCGGCTAATCCACATTGTTGAATACAAACTCCAGGGTAACTCAGAAGCCACGTTAGGTAGCGTCAGGTTAATCAGTCAGGTGCAAATTAAGAATCACTGAGCTGCTGATTCCGTTTTTGGATAAAACAGTCCCATTGATCCTTTTAGTTAAAACTGAGTTGCTGATTTCCCTCTGTGAAAACAGAGCGTCATCAGAGGCCGTGTTTGGATGCGTCAGGTTAACCAGTCAGTAAAGATCACTGAGTCGCAGATTTCCTGAATTAGGTATAAACGATCCTTTGATCCTTCTAGTTAAAAACGACCAGAAAAGGCAACAGTAATCAAACATTTCAAATAAACAAGCAAACTAAAACCATCGAGGAGCAGCGGCAGCAGTACGCGCCAGCGTTCACTCTTTACTCATTACCTAAAATGAGTAATGTAATGGATCACGTTACTCACTACAGTTTTTGTCGTGCAATTTGGAATCGGTAACGGACTACAATCTGTAAGTAACCTAACCCAGCCCTGCTGATGGATGTGTTTGTGGAAGAGTGAGTCTGTACTGCTAGACTAGACTGAAGCTGCCATGTGCCACAAACGGAAATACTGTTACTGTTCAGCCAGTGGAGCATCTGCTCTTCTGCTTTGACCACTTCAGAGCAAAAATAATTGAAGTGTCAGATTGGTACCAAAGGACTGGTTCTTTTGACAGCACTAAACTGATACTTGCACTTTAATCTCTAATCACATTAGTCAGCAGGATGGTGTCAGATACTCATGTGACTGTGTGTGTGTGTGTGTGTGTGTGTGTGTGTATGTGTATGTGT